CAGACCTAGCGGCGGCCGCACACGCCGCAGCGGGGCCGGCGCCCAAGTGGCGGTGAGCGCCTGGGTGTGCAAAGAGCTATGAACTTCGATGCAGAATAGATTGTCCTGGACTTCAGCAATTGCTGTAATTTTGTGTATAGTGGTTTCTTACAAAATTTCACATCTTTACGATTCTGATGCTTTTAAAAAAAAAAAAACCTAGGAACTGAATATTTCCATTTAAAATTACTCAAATGGGAAAGCGTCTACGAAAGCATATTGCTTTTTCAGATTATAAAGTTATCTTTTCCAATAACTTGAGTCTAGTAAATTTTAAGGGACTTTCGATGGACCCTAGAGCCATACCTTCGCTGACTCTCACCTGTATTTCTGTTTCCAGAAGCTGTCGTCACAGGTGCAGCGAGCTCGCCTGCTTTCTGCTCGCTCCCTGGGGCGTCAGATGCACAAAAGCCCACAAATGCATTTTCCTTTTGTCACAAAGAAATTTGAATTGCAAATTTCAACCAGGAAACAAAACATTTCTTAGTTTTTGCTCAGTTTTTTATAGTCACCTTATACTTCTCTTTTTTTCCCCCCAAAACACGGTTAAAAGCAACATCTGTCCGAGTAGAAATGGTTGCATTTTAAATAGCAATTTATTGAAAAAGCAGTAACCTTTTCCAGCCTAAAGAAAGAAAATAAGCCAATTAAGTGTACTTTCAAATGGGGGTGGGGGGAGGGGGGTTACTTTGATTTGAAGAATCAGGAACATTTTGTTTGTGAATCTCGACCCTCTGAGCAGCCCTTCCCGTGTCCCAGGGAAAGTGCACCAGCTCCAGACTGTTAGACTGTCCGGTGATGCATTTTAGAGTTTGTCGTTGAACGCGGAGCAGTATTCGTGTGAGGTGTGAAATGGAAGCCAGCGAGAGTGGCTGCGGACCTCCCACTGAGGACGCTGCTCACCGAAGCGGCCGCCCGCCTCCTGTCATGTATTTGCGGGTCCTTCCGGAGCGCGTGAGAGAAAACCTTGCTAATTTATTTGACTGTACAAATACACTTTGATACTTTTTTTATATTTTCATAAACTTACTTTTGCAAGTGTAAAACTAGAGAAGTTCATTCATTCTTTGGAGTCTATTCCATTGTACATCACTACAGATTTGTCCCTTTCTAGCACAAACGTACCAACAATAAGAACACGGAGAACTTCGTGATCTGGAGGGACTGGCGTCCGGGTGAAACGGCACTGCAGTGCTGGAAGTTCCAACGTCTCATACGACGTGAAGGGTTTTTTACACGTAAAACAAATTTTTCTAATTTAAATACACAAATGTAAAAATCAAGTGTGTTTCTTTAGGTTTACTTGATAGAAATTTCTGTAAATTGTATTTTATATTGCAAAGTATTATATCATTGTACATTAAAACGTGGCCCTCCGTAGGTTTTGTTACTTGAAGTAGAATAAACATCTACAGAAGGTTTCCCGCCACTCGTGTGTCACTTCTCCCCGTCGGGGGTCTGGGGCCGGACGGGCCCCTCCGAGAGCTCGCACACATGCACCCCTGTGCCTGCCCTGGGCTGACGACCCCGCCTGGAGTCGGGTGACCCGCCCCGCCACTCTGCCTGCTCCGCGTGTGGCTAGAGGTGAGCGGTGCCTGGTGCCGCGGTGGCCGGCGTGGTCTGGAGGTGAGGCGGAGCCCGTGGCCTGGGCTCAGTGGAGTGGCGTGGCTGAGCCCGCAGGCTGACGCGGGGCCTTCAGGGCGAGGGGAACAGCTGCTCCCACACCCACACGCGGCCACTGCTGGGGCAAAGGACACAGCGTGGGCCTTGAACTTGAATTTCAGGGGCGCCTGGGTGGCTTAGTCGGTTAAGCGTCCGACTTTCGCTCAGGTCATGATCTCGCGGTTCGTGGGTTCGAGCCCCGCGTCGGGCTCTGTGCTGACTGCCAGCTCAGAGCCTGGAGCCTGTTTCAGTCTGTGACTCCCTCTCTCTCTGACCCTCCCCTGCTCACGCTGTCTCTCTCTCTCCTAGAAATACAAAAACAAAAACAAAAACAAAACCTATTGAACTTGAATTTCAGCGCCCGGCTGCTCCCCGGAATCGCCCGCAGTCTGATGACGTGTGTCCCAGAAGCTCGCTCTCAGCAGGTGCATCCCCAGCCCCACTGTGGGCGGAGGCAGAGAAAACGTCCCTCCTAAGGACACTTCTGTCCTGTTGGGTGTCCCATCACCGACGGCCGAGCACACAGCAAACCAGGGAGGGTTCCGCAGGGGCCCCCGGCGGCACCCGCCTCCCACCACCGTTGCCTCAGAAGGGCGTGCTGAGCCGCGGCGGCCCACAGGGCCCACGGAGATGGGCGGCCTGTTTGCCGGGAGCCGCGAGGGCACAGCCCGGACTGGGCGGCTGCCGTACCGAGAGCTGACAGGCGCCGAGGAGGCTGGGCACGGCGCCCGGCCCGCACCCTGCTGTCGGAGGGGTTTCACCGGAGCGTGGGGGCCACGGCCCCATTTTAACGTTCTCAGTCCTTCGTCTGCTCCTCAGATGTTTGGCTGCATTTGCAGTCACCCCGGAGCGCCTCCCACGCCGCACAGCACCGGGGCGCTCTGACCTCAGCCTGCCACCCGCACCCCGTCCCCCCTCCAGCCTGTGGCCCACCGAGCTGCACGTGGGTCACCAGAAAGCTGAGGAGTCCGGCTTGAAGACAAAGCCCTCCTTCCCTGAATCATTTTCCCTCTGTTTTGTTTTTGTTTTTACAAAATTGGGATTTTTACAATCTTGTATCTTTTTTTCCATTTGCTTTGCCCTGGGCAACTCCCACAGGCATCAAATATTCGTCAAAAGGCATTTTGGGGGCACCTGGGGGCTCAGTCAGTTAAGCTCTGATTTCGGCTCAGGTCATGATCTCACGGTTCACGAGTTCCAGCCCTGCACTGGGCTCTGTGCTGACAGCTCGGAGCCTGGAGTCTGTTTCGGATTCTGTCTCCCCCTCTCTGCCCCTCCCCTGCTTACACTCCATCTCTCAAAAATGAAAAAAAAAAACAAAACCTTAAAAAAGATTATTTTAGGTAATTTCGTGTTTTCGTATTTTTCCCATCGTTCAAAAGGTTTGTACCTTTTCCTTTCAAGAGAATAAATGCTCCCTGTAGATCTGTGAGGTCCTGAGCATCCACCGTGGAGGATATAGGAAACGCAAGGAGCATATTAAGAAAATGAAGATCCACCATCTCCTCTTCTGTGAATGTGGCCATCCAGAAACATCCAGAAACAAGCATTCCTTTTTTTTTTTTTTTTTAATTTTTTTATGTCTTTATTTTATTTTGAGAGACAGAGACAGAGAGTGAGCAGGGGAGGAGCAGAGAGAGAGGGAGACACAGAATCTGAAGCAGCTCCAGGCTTCAGAGAGCCTGATGCGGGTCCCGAACTCATGAACTGTGAGATCACGACCTGAGCCGAAGTCGGATGCTTAACCAACTGAGCCCCCCAGGCGCCCCTGGAAACAAGCATTCCTGACAGTATTTCTGGCCTCTTTCTTCTGCAGCCGTGTTGCTGATGCTCAGGGGTGTGTTGCTAAGGAAAACGCATTTAGAAAAAGCCCAACGAACAGAGACTATTTAGTTCATGTCTGCGAGCTTCACACAAACCTGGAGGCAGGCGGTCCCGGTGGGTCGAGTGGCCTCGGTGTCGCTGACGGCCCTGTCCCCAGCTTGTGACCCTGTCCTCGTGGCTGCAAGAAGGCTGCCCCTGCAGGCTGTCACATCGTCACCTCGCTGCCCTGGGAGGAAGCTGGTGCGAGAGACAGAGCCTCGGCCGGGCATCCCGCCCCCTCTGCTCCCTGTTGGAAACTTGGTTGCATTTCGGCCACACCGTGTCACACGGCCACCCCTAGCTGTACAGGAACAAGTCTGGGACTACTAGTGAAACAGGGGGTGTCAAGCCAGGGCAGGTCACCACGACGTGTCAGGAGCCCTCACGCGCCGCCACTAGGAAGGGCGGGTGGAGCCGCGGCCTCGCCAGCCTTGCCAGTTTCCTCTCAGTGACCTCAGGTCACCCTCCACGCCATCCAGCAGGCCCCCGTCGGACACGCCCCCTCAAAGCATGTGTCATCCACAGGGCAGTGTCACCCCCACGGGCCCAAGGCCGGCTCCGGCGGTATGGGTCCTGCTGCTGCGACGGTCTGCGCCCCCGAAGGGCCCGCGCGGGGAGAGTGCTGGCCCTGACCAGGGCAGCCTGAAGCTCTGGCCTCTCTGAGCCCACTCTCGCTTCCGTTTCTCGCAAGTTCAAAGCAGTTGCCGAGGACTTTTCTCCGGTTTGTCTTTCCTTCTGTGTCTGTGCATGTGTGTGTCTGATGAGTCAATACTTTGATAGCGGAGAAATCTTTTGGCAAGCAGAGGGAAACTCATTTTGCTCACTGTCGCATTTCTTTGTCTTATAAATCTACAGAACAATATTTCTTCAATAAATATTTAAACTCTAAATTAAATATTTAACAGTTAAATTTCGCCTGGGTGGCTCAGTCGGCAGAACATCCAACTCGGTTGAGCGTCTGACTCTTGATTGCGGTTCAAGTCATGATCTCGAGGTTTGTGCGATCGAGCCGCGCGTAGGGCTCTGCACTGGCATCAAGGAGCCTGCTTGGGATTCTCTCTCTGCCCCTCCCCTGTCCATGTACTCTCTCTCTAGATACATAGCAAAACAAACCTAAAAAAAATAAATTTCCAAATACTTAGCTATCGAAGTAATACAAAGATAATAAAATCCTCCTAAGCGGCTAATTAAAATCATATCTATAACAAAGGTTTATCAGATTCTCTCAGGACTCGTGTACCGTAAGGAGGAAACAAAGCTCGAAAATCACAGCGACACCGCGACGCTCCGCGAACAGCTTCCTGACTGCCAGTGCCGTGAGCGTAACCCACTTCTTTTTTTTTTAATGAATAAACTTTATTTATGGACAGTGAAATTTGAATTTCATATACTTTTTACATGTATGAAATATTATTCTTTTATTTTTTTTCCTAACATTTAAAAACATAAAAACCTTTCTTTGCTCACGGTCCTTCACGGACAGTAGGCTGGATTGGGGCTGAGGGCTGTGCTCGCCAACTCCTGATGTAGCAAGTGCGCTGTCACACATGTAGCGAGTGCACAAATGTTCTGCAATATATTAACGTTCCAGTTGTTAGCCGTCCAGGTCACCTTCAGTCACTCTACGCAACGTTCTCAACGGTTCACATCTGTCCCTCTGTGCAAACCGCGCTCCAGCCTATCAACCCCCGGCTGGCGCACCCAGGGCTCCCCAACCCCCTCACCCGCTCTCTCAGTAGCGGCCATGCCACCGGCCACTTCGGGGTTCCTCCCAGCGCGCTGGCAGCTCTTTCTCATCTTGTGCCAACCCTGCCCCAACATCAGGGCCTCGGGGTTCTTCAGAGCTTTGTCCTACACCACCTACCCCATGGTCCAGCGCTATGGAATGACAATTGTACAATTTGTAACTCCAGCCTAAGACCTTATTTCTGAGCTCCAAATGCAAATCTATAATCACCTGCCGGATTCCCATTTGGAATCTGTAGGAATCCCAAACTAAAATATCCGAAATGGAAATTCTGATCCTTACCCCACGGTCTGCTCTTCCCATTTCTTCCCTAGTTGAGTATGTGGCACCCTGAGTGGCTCCAGACAGAAACCAAGGCAGAGCATAACCCACTTCTTCATGATCTCTCCTCACGTGGGTCATCCCGGGCACAGCTCTGCCAGAGGACTGTGAAGACAGAGGTACAGGACAGACAGACAGACAGGCATCAGGGAGGCTGCTCATGGCACCTGAGCGCTGGGTGACACTGTGGGCAGGCTGGGGTCTGCGCCCCGCAGACCATATTCCCTTAACTGGGGATATGCTGGGGGGTCATCCTGCTCCCCCAGCATGGCCCCCAGCACGGCCCCCAAGCCTGCTCACCGTCACCTTTTAAACCATGCATTTCAGGGGCGCCTGGGTAGCTTAGTCGGTTAGGCGTCCGACTTTCGCTTAGGTCATGATCTCGCGGTTCGTGGGTTCGAGCCCCGCGTCGGGCTCTGTGCTGACTGTCAGCTCGGAGCCTGGAGCCTGTTTCAGTCTGTGACTCCCTCTCTCTCTGACCCTCCCCTGCTCACGCTGTCTCTCTCTCTCTCCTAGAAATAAATAAAACATTAAAAAAAAAAAAAAGAATATTTTAAACCATGCATTTCAGGGGCGCCTGGGTGGCTTAGTCGGTTAGGTGTCTGACTTCAGCTCAGGTCATGATCTCGTGGTCTGTGGGTTCGAGCCCCGCGTCGGGCTCTGTGCTGACAGCTCAGAGCCTGGAGCTGCTTCAGATTCTGTGTCTCCCTCTCTCTCTGACCCTCCCCTTCTCACGCTGTCTCTCTCTCTTTCTCTTCTTTATTTAGAAATAAATAAAACATTAAAAAAAAAAACAAGAAGAAACATTGGGGCACCTGGGTGACTCTGTCGGTTAAGTGTTCGACTTCAGCTCAGGTCATGATCTCGTGGTCTGTGGGTTCGAGCCCCGTGTCGGGCTCTGTGCTGACAGCTCAGAGCTGGGAGCTGCTTCAGATTCTGTGTCTCCCTCTCTCTGTCCCTCCCCCACTTGCACTCTGTCTCTCTCTCTCAAAAACAAATAAATGTTTAAAAAATGTTTTTAAATAACAAAAATAAACCATACACTCTAAACAAAGACAACGGCAGAGTCGTGCCCCCACCTACTGCCACCCTGAAAACACACCCACCCCAGGAGGAGACAGTCGCTCCTCCGCCTGGTGAAGAAGTTCAAGTTCGGTCTTCTCTGCCCGCCCACACGTCCACCCGCAGCTCGGGGATGAGGTCAGCTACTCTCAACACACTTGATGTTGGACAAGAAGGCCAAGCGGGCAGAAGAAAACAAAAAGTGTGTGATTACTAAGCACACACATATGTATCCCCGAAGCAGGAAGGGACATAGCCGCTGTGGTGGTCACCTCCGCAGCTGGCCACGTGGCCATAACCAGGGTCTATCGGCTTCTTCGCCACCCGGTCCACGCTCCCCTGGCCCTGGAGCGGCACCTGAGCCGGCAGAGACCCCCTGCCTGGTGGGCGCCTCAAAGCGCCCTTCCTTCCAGCCTGAGTTATTGGCACGATCCAGCAGGAAGTGGATTGTGGCGGTTTTGTCGATCCGATCATGGGACTCGGGGGGCACGGAGAGGTGGCCCCGGGAATCCCCCGCGTTCCAGGCGTGCTCTCCCAACCCTCACGGACACGTAGCAGCGTCACCGCCCCTTGTGAGGAGGCCGGACCACCCCGGCCAGGACAGTCTCCCTCCTTTGCCTGTTCATCCACTGGCGTGGAGGGTCCGAAGTGACTAGGTGCCATCCCCGCCGACAGCCTGCGAGGCCAGCACCGTATCCTCTGGAGGAAGCTCTCTTCCCCTTCAACTGACCCTCCTAGAACCAGAGGTGGCAGCAAAGATTCAGCTGGCGGATCAGCAGAGGTAAGAGTGACAGGAGCCACCCCATCCCCGCCGTGATTCCCAGACCCACGAATCTCGGCTGCGGAGAAAGAGCATCATAAACTAGTAGCTGACTCAGGGCACGTGCTGCGCCCGGAGAGGCAGTGCCCCGGCCGTGCGGGGTGCTCCGGCCACCCGGCTGGCGCTGTGAGGGAGCCTTCCACAGGCCGTCAAGTACATCTCTCGGAGCCACCCAAATCCAGCACTCCGACGCCAACCGCTGGCGAGGGCGCGGGGCACCAGGAGCACTCGCGCGTTGCTGGTGGGAGCGCAGCGCGGGGGCTTCTTACAAATACAAACATGCTCTCACCATACGATCCACAACCGTGCTCCTTGGCGTTTTCCCAAAGAAGGAGAAAAGCGGCACACAGTGTTTACGGCAGCTTTATTCTCAGTCGCCCAAACTCGGCAGCAACCAAGATGCCCTCGGTGGGTGACGGACACAAAGCTGTGGACCACCCAGGCAGCAGAACACTATTCGGGGCTAGACAGACGTGAGCTGCCAGGCCCTGGGAACACATGGAGGAAACTGAGTTGCATGTTACTAAGAGAAAGAAGCCAATCAGAAAAGGCTACACACTGCATGATTCCAACTACATGACATTCCAGGAAAAGCAAAATCATGGAAATAGAAAGATCAGCAGCTTCTCGAGGTGGAGGGAAGAGCGGGAGGGATGAATAGGCAGAGCACAGAGGATTTTTAGGGACAATACCCAGTATGATACCCAACATACGTGTCCTATACGTGTTTTGCTAAGTTTATACCTCAGCATAGTTTGAGTGGTTGTAAACGTATTGCATTTCCCCTCAGGGTACACACACCCACTGCTGGTGAGGAAGAAGTGAGGTGTTAGGTTGTCCCTCCTTTCTGTGACCTTGCTGAAGCCAGTGGTTAGCTTTCTTACAGGCTCCACAGGATTTTCTACATAGATCATATTGTCTGCAGAGAAGGACAATGCACTTTTTTTTTAATGTTTATTTATTATTGACACAGAAAAAAACACAGCATGAGTGGGGGAGGGACAGAGAGAGGGAGACACAGAATCCGAAGCAGGCTCCAGGCTCTGAGCTGTCAGCACAGAGCCCGATGCGGGAATCGAACCCACGAACCGTGAGGTCATGACCTGAGCCGAGTCGGAAACTCAACTGATTGAGCCCCCCAGGCGCCCCAGCACTTCTTTTGTCTTGATATGAAGGTCTTTTCTTCTTCTTGTCGTATTGCACTGAGTAGGGCCTCCAGTATGATGTCGAATAGAAGGAGTGATGGTGGAGACCTTTGCCCTCCTCCTAACCCCGGGAAAACATCCGGTCTTGTGCTGGTAAGTATGATGCTCGCTGTGGTGGTTTCATCGACGTCCTTGATCGGGTTGAGGGAGTTCCCTTCCATTCGTGGTTTGCAGTTTTTCTCCAAAACGGATATTAGATTTGTCAAACACTTTCTTTTTTCTTGTTGCATTTTTGAGTTCATCATAGTTTTTTTCTTTTTCGGTCTTTTTTTTTTTTAAGTTTATATATTTTGAGAGAGAGACAGCACTCATGCAAGCAGGGAAGAGAGAGAGAATCCCAAGCAGGTTTTGCGCAGTCAGCACAGAGCCCGATGTGGGGGCTCAAACCCTGAACCGTGAGATCATGACCTGAGCTAAAGTCGGATGCTTAACCCACTGAGCCACCCAGGTGCCCTATATGCTGGCTGATTTTCAAACGTGAACAAAATTTGTGTTAGTAGAACAATATCCACTTAGGTATGATGTATGATTCTTTTTTAAAGATCTTGTTAAGGGCGCCTGGGTGGCTCAGTCAGTTAAGTGTCCGACTTCGGCTCAGGTCATGATCTTGCGGTTCGTGGGTTCGAGCCCCGCGTCGGGCTCTGTGCTGACAGCTCGGAGCCTGGAGCCTGTTTCAGATTCTGTTTCTCCCTCTCTCATCCTATCCCGCTCACACTGTCTTGTCTCTCTCTCTCAAAAAAACAACAGAAAAACATTAAAAAATAAACTTGAAGGACTTTAAAAAAATAAAGATCTTGTTGGATTCAATTTGCTAAGATTCTATTAAGAATTTTTGCACATTTGTTCATGCAGATATTGCTCTGTGGTTTTATATTCTGGTGACGTCTTTATCTGGTTTTGATATCAAATCACGCTGGTTTCGCAGAATGTATGTTTGTGTAACCGTTTCACATTCGGCACTTATTCTCGTGAAGCCTGGCTCACACGGAGCGTGTGCTTTTGGTTTTCAATGTCGGGTCCACAGCCACTAAGCTGACTCTATGACCCACGTGGGTCTTCCCCCAGAGGAGCACCACGTGTACCGTGCTGCCTCCGCGAGTCCTTTCTTCAGGGCTCAAATTTTATTTTCTTGCATGTTTGGGGCAGAGGCCTGCTATGTGCTCCCAGGGGCCGTGGCTGGAGACCTCGTCCCGCCCGGCACGCCAGGCTGTGCTGGGGTTCTCGGGTGGGGGTCACAGCTCTGGGGGGGCTGCCCCAGGGGGCGCGCAGGGCCACTGGGAGCCACACCGACTTGAGAGAAGCACGTTTGCTTCAGTCTTCACGTTTTATTTACAACGCAAGCTGCAGTGACGGAAACGTCATTCCCACGCTTCACCTCCAACCAGAAGAGGGCCCGAGAGCTGCTGTCTGCAGAGCCCGCCCGAAAGAAAACCAAAAATGCCTGGTAGGTGCCAGCGGCCGTTATTCCCAGTAAGTGAAAAACGCCGCCGGATATACGCTTGGCTTCGCTTCCTCAACGCGCAGCGCTCTGGGGCTGCCGTTCCCTGCGGTCCGTCCAGCAGCAGCGCAGCCTGGACGGGCCTGAGAAAGCGGGTCTGAGTTACGATCCGCTTTTTTTTTTTTTTTTTTTTTTTTAATTTCTAGGCGAGAGAGAGACAGTGTGAGCAGGGGAGGGGCAGGGAGAGAGGGGGACACAGACTCCGAAACAGGCTCCGGGCTCCGGGCTGTCAGCACAGAGCCCGACGCGGGGCTCGAACCCTCGAACCGCGAGATCATGACCTGAGCCGAAGTCGGACGCCTAACCGACTGAGCCCCCCAGGCGCCCCACGATCCGCTTTTTAACAAGGTCCCGGTGGCCCCGGGCACATCATGGCCCGTGCTGGCGCCACGCCGGGGGTCCTCTCAAAGCTTGGCCCACGCAGTTCCATGTACTTAGTGGCTTTATAACTTCGCTCTTTAAATTGCGTATCTCAACCCCCTGTGACTAAGCTCTGTCTGGTGTGGAAAGACGTGCTCTCGCTTGCTTTGGTTTTTCCCCAAACGATTACGCTGCTGTCCTGGGTCTTTTATTGCGGGGCCACCGCTTCCGTCCTGGGGACGTTTTACGCCGGAGAAGAGCCTTACACCACGTGCACGGTAAGATGCCGCACGTGCTCACGGAAAAGCGGGGCAGAGGCGCGCTGCGCGCCGGGGGCCCCGCTGCCTCGGGCTGGGGCGCGGCGCCCGGGGACCCGCCCCCCCCCCCCCGGGCTGCAGGCCGCCGCGCCACCCCGGGACCCGCGCAGCGGTCTCACCTGCGAACTGCTGGCCCCGCCCTCCCCGTCCTCTGCATCGCTCCGCCCCCGACCTGCGCGCGCAGCCCACCACCGCGGCTCCCGCCCGCCCATCCACACACCTGCGCGCGCAACTCCCGTGGCAGAGCCGCAGTCCTCTCCGCCGTCGGGGGCGGGGCGCGACGCGGCGCGGAGGGCAGGCGGCCAGGCGGTTGGCGGGGGCGGGGTCCAGGGGCGGGGCCGCGGCGCAGGGGGTGGAGTTTCCGTTGCGGGGCGGGGCGGGGCGGCGCAGGCGCGCTGCAGGCCCAGCGGTTTCCCGTCCCCCCCCCTCCCTCAACGTCGCCCGGCGACGCCGCGCCGGCCGGGTGCCCGCCGGCCCCCCCGCGCGCCCCGCCGTTGGCGCCGGCATGTCGGGCCCCGGGCCGCGGGAGCCGCCGCAGGCGGGCGGGCCGGCGGGCCCCGAGGGCGCGGACGCGGCGCCGGGCGAGGCGGGGCTGAGCTTCACGACCACCGACCTGAGCCTGGTGGAGATGACGGAGGTGGAGTACACGCAGCTGCAGCACATCCTCTACTCGCACATGGAGGCGGCGGCGGGCGACGGCGAGGTCGACGCGCGCCTCAGCTCGGCTTTTCTGGCCGCCGCGGCGCCGGGGGGCGCGGCGACGGCGGCGAGCGGCTTCGCGGCGGCGGGGGGCGCGGCGGCGGCGGGGGGCGCGGCGCCCGTGTACCCCGTGCTGTGCCCGCCCGCGCTGGCCGACGGCGGCTTCGCGGGCGCCGCGCCCTGCCTGGGCCACGTCGACTTCCAGGAGCTGCGCATGATGCTGCTGAGCGAGGCGGGCGCCCCGGCCGCCGCCCCCGCCCCCGCCGAGAAGACGCCGGGCGCCGACGGCCCCGGCCCGGGCGCGCCGCGGCCCAAGGCGCCCGACGGCGGCAGCGGCAAGGAGAACGCGGAGGGCGCGACCGAGGCGCGGGCCAAGTCGGCCGTGCGCGTCCGCCTGGAGGACCGCTTCAACAGCATCCCCGCCGAGCCGCCTTCCGCCCCGCGCGGCGCGGAGCCCCCCGAGCCCGGCGTGGCGCTCAACAAGTGGGTGTCAGCCCGGGGCGGCCGGGCGCGGGGAGGGTGTCTGCGTGCACAGGGGGCCGCCGGGCTCCGCCAGGCTGCGGACCCGGAGGCCCAGTGCGGAGGCCGAGGTCTCAGTCTGGATGCACATGCGGGCCCCTGACCGGGAGGCCGCCAGCCTGGCTGTGACTGGCGTCTGTGTGGCTGTATCTGGGCGGAGACCAGGTGATCCCGTACAAAGGCCACCGCCCCACTGCAGCTTGCGTTTCATAGGGATCAGGTCCAGCTGGGTCTGGGCGTAGGCGAAGTCGGCCTCGTAGAAAGCCCCCAGCCTTTTCGCAGCTGGCATCTTAACAGCGGGCAGAGTTCGGTGGGTCTGAGGCCGACTCGCAAGGTTCTGTGCCCTGTGCAGGTGCCAGTGAGCAAACACTTGTGACTACTGAGTCCATGCGCCAGAGCGTGAGCTTCCGTGGTGAGCACTGTGTGCACGCGCAGTGTCCAGTTGAGACAGGCGTGCAGATGCATCCGAGCTTTTGCACCAAATTGTCCGCCTACATGTTAGGAGAGGCATGTTTCCTCTCCGTTGGCTCAGGGTAGCTGTGTCTCCGATGTGGCACAGACGCGGCCTGGAAGGAAAGTGTCTTGTCGACGCCGTCTGAGGCCCTGACCACAGAACGCAGCTTCCCCCGCAGTCAGCCCGCCAGCCCTGCCTGGGGCCAACTCCCGCTCTGGCGCCCCCTCAGGTCCCTAGCCTGGGGTGGTCCCCGTTCGCCCTCAGCCGTCAGAGTTTGGAGAATGGCCAAAAAAGAGCAAGAGAGATTGGTGTCAAGTGACATGCAGCCTCCTGATCCTCCACGAGAAAGAAGTTTAAGCTTGTGCACGCAACACCAGTTGGTAATTGTTCTCTAGAGGCTTCCGTGCTGAGGGGCGTGCGTTCACCCTAACGGGCAAGCTTTCTAGAAAAGGCAGTGCTAACTCTGCAGCGTGACGGGGATTGCACCGCTGACGGACACTTCCCGCCACAGTCTTCATGTGTTTTTTTGTCTCAGCAGTTTGGTAACGCTTATCCGACATCCGTCCGAATTAATGAACGTTCCTCTTCATCAGCAGCAAAACAAATGCACTACATTAGTGAAAAATAAAACTGCCGCCGCGGCCACGGCCCTGCAGTTCACATACCCCGTGTTCACAGCGAACACATGCTCCGCTGGCGCTGCCTCGAGCCTTTCACAGACGCAGGTACTGGAATGATCCGCCCTGTTTGCTCTTTGTAGCGAATGGGTTTGATCTGAGCTCATTCGATCTGAAGGATTGGTTTCTCTTTCACTGAGCTTAATGTTCCCTGACACCAAGAGTGTTTCTGGGGCGCCTGGGTGGCTCAGTCGGTTAAGTGTCCGACTTCAGTTCAGGTCATGATCTCGTGCTCTGTGGGTTCAAGTCCCGTGTCCGGCTCTGTGCTGACGGCTCAGAGCCTGGAGTCTGCTATCTCCCTCTCTCTTTGCCCCTCCCTGCTTGTGCTCATTCTCTTCGTCTCCCAGAAATAAACAAACATTAAAAAAAAAATTTAAAAAGAGGGTGCCTCAGTGCCTCAGTCCGTTGAGCGTCGGACTTCGGCTCAGGTCATGATCTCACAGTTTGGGGGTTCGAGCCCTGCATCAGGCTCTGTGCTGACAGCTTGAGCCTGCTTCAGATTATGCATCTCCCTCTCTGCCCCTCCCCTCCTCATGCTCTGTCTATCAAAACTAAATAAAAACCAAGAAAATGTAAAAAGAACAACATAAAAAAAGTTAAGAGTGGTTATGTGGTCAGAGAATGTGTAACCCCCTCAGTGTATGTATAGTCACTCAGAGTGTGTGACGTCTTTGACATGATTTCTGTGGAAGCGCATGTGACTTGTGTGGCGTATCGGGGACTGGGTCGCGTGCTGATCAAGTTCCTGTGGCTTCATTTTTCCAGAGCTCTAGTAACCCATGTTCTATACTCGAAGCTGCCAAGCATCAGGATATTGGATTGCCTAGAGCATTTTCTTTCTGTTACCAGCAGGAGATTGAGTCCACTAAACAGGCTTTGGGCAGCAGAAACAAAGCTTTCCCTGAGCAGGTTTGGATTAAAGTAGGAGGTAAGCGGAGAAGGGAGGGCGCGGCCCTGGTGTCGTTTTGGTGGGGGGGGGAGGGGCGGGGAGGGGAGGTTTGTAAACATGAGATGGCCTTGGAAGTGAACTTCCGTGTGGGGGACTTTTCTTCACTTTGAACTTTCTTTTGAATTTCAAACATTTATATTTAGTATGGAAACGGAGTTTGGGGGCTGCTCTTTCTTCCCAGTGACTCTTGTAAATGGAAGAACAATAGACATGTAAACTTTCCGTTTCCTTCAAGTTGCTGAAAGCAGTTAATAGTGTTTTATTTTTTTCTTATTTTATATCTCGTGAGTGAGGCGGGAGTCTGAAATCTTCTAAAAGCGCTAGGAGACCATATGCAGGGGGGTAAAGGTTTGAGTTGGGAACAAGAGGCCGTAAGGTGATTCAGAAAGTTTGAGGAATGAAGTGCCGAAGGCAGACTTGGCTCATCTCGAGGAAGCTTGCAGCCCCTCTCTCCCTGGGAACCAACTGTTTTTTGACTCACTGGACAAGGTAACCCCAAGGTTTTCCGGAGCCGACGAAGGCAAGGGGCTGCCAAAGTGGGCAGTTCTGGTTTGGAGGCTCCGTGCGGAAGCGCATGTTAACCATTGGCAGAGTTTGAGGTTACTAGTCAGACCGTGTGCTGACTGCTCAGCCTCAGGAGCAAAGCACTCCCAACACTATGAGCCCCCCGCCGGCTCCCCCACTCTGAAAGATGTGGTAGCGCCTCCTATGCCACAGATGTGATTGGCCTTGACCTGGCACCGCGGGAGCGTGTCCCCTGCACGCGCAGCTAGGTGCCCCTTGCCCTCATGGGATGAGATGTGCCATATTCAGAGTCAAAGCTAAGAGGTGGTTACCCATTGTGCGGGCAGACTCACCTGTGAGGTGAGGGCGCATTTAACTGTAGGCCACCTGGGTTTTGTCTTCTGAGCACTGTGGTTAGAGTATATCTGCTGTCACGCTAGAATAATACCATAAAACAAAATCTTTTGGAGGAAAAAGACCTTTCTTCATCCTGAACATGAGAAAACCCCAGCAACTTCTTGGTTTCTCCGTTCACAGACGGTAGTTAACACCTGATGATTAACAGGGGACTTTGACAAGGTTGTGTTGATTCCGTAGTACTCGGAGTGTCCTCGTTTACTTATAGAACTTATGTTCAGGTTTGTGGTTTGAACCTTGGAGCCTTGTGTACAAGTTCTTGGGAGTGGGCGCAGCTCTTCCTGTGCAGTTCTGTGTCCCTGGCCTGTCGGTGTATGTGTGTCTGGAGCTGAAAATCAAAGGTGTTCAGCATTAACGGTGAGAAGTTCAGTAAAATAAAAAATTAAAATACCACTTTTTTCTTCTTTTGCAAAGAAGAATCGCTATGTAAGCAAGCAATAAATAAGAGGAATCGGAGTAGAATTCGTCAGCTGGACGCAAACGTGGAACGAAGAGCCCTTGGAGAGATTCAGAACGTGGGCGAAGGTTCCGCCACTGCACAGGGCGCTTGGCCACCCGCGGAGTCCTCGCAGGCCAGCCTCGGGGAGCAGAGCCAGAGCGGGCCCCAGGGAGGAAGGTCGCAGCGCAGGGAGAGGCACAACCGCATGGAAAGAGACAGAAGGTAACGCGTGTGGTTGCTCGTCGGCACGCAGGTTTATTCCGGTTTTGAGCAGCAGTGGGCAGGTTATTGATGAGACCACAGTTTTGTCATTTTCATGACATGTTTAAAGTGGAGAGAGGTTGGCTGGGGTGAATGTTGACTTGGTTTTGCTAGGTGGATCAGGGTCCCCAGGACCACCCTCCAGGTTTGGCGATTCTTTAGGACCTAGGGCTTTGACTTATTACAGAGAAAGGAACCTGGAAAATTACCAAAGGCGCCTTGGGGTGGGGATGGGCATCCAGAGAGCTAGGTGCAGGCTCCCAGTGCCCCCTCCCAGGGGACTCCCAGGTGCACTCAGCAACCCCAGCACCGGCTGTTCCCGCTGGGGAAGCTCACGAGGGACCCAGTCCCCGAGATGTTCTTGGCGGGCAGGTCATGGAGGCTCCTGCCTGGCGAGCAGCCAGTCCCAGGCCCCCAGAAGGAGAGCCGGTGCACAGCATAGACCATGTTTGCACACACGTTGTGGGCACAGGGAACCCCTTCTAACTAATGATGCTGGGAACCCCTGGAATCTGAGTGCCCGATGCCATCAGGGCCCTGCCTTGTGGGTGGGCTGCCAGGGGACGGCCAGGGTAAGGGGTTAGAACTGTGACTTCAGTCGTTTTATCTGCAGGTTTTATTTAGAATTTGCAATTTTTTTTTGAATGTTTATTTCTGAGAGAGACAGAGTGCGAGCGGGGGAGGGGCAGAGAGATGGAGACATAATCTGAAGCAGGTTCCAGGCTCCAAGCTGTCAGTACAGAGCTTGATG